AGAGAGAGAGAGAGAGAGAGAGAGAGAGAGAGAGAGAGAGAGAGAGAGAGAGAGAGAGAGAGAGAAGTGGGGGCTTATGGAAGGAGGGAGGGAGGGATTAAGCGAAGGAGGGACAGGTGGTTGGGCAGGCCAAGGGAGGGATGGAGAGATGGACAGAGAGAGGGATGGACGGAAGGTGGGAAGGACAATCAGGGACGGCGGGATGTGAAGGTGGATGCATGGAGGGATGGAGGGACGAAGTGAGATCGCATGGGACGGAAGGAGACAGCAATGGAGGGATGAAACACGAGATGTAGAAATGGTTGGAGGATGGATGGATGGATGCATGGATGGACAGAGGGATAGATCCCTCGGTTGATAGGTAGATATATTATAGATAAGGGCAGATCGACAAATCAATCAATCAATCAATCAACCAATCAACCCATCAACCTATCAGCAATAGACGTATGGATGGATACATAAATGCAATGAACCTTGCAGTCTCCAGCAGAATGTAACAATACTAGGGTCAGTTTTCTAATTTTCTGTGGCCCCGGGCTCTAAGTGGTAAGCCAGACTTTTCCATAAATCCCGTGAATTTCCAGGCCCTAAGCCTTTCCCTTATTAACTGGGTCTGGTACCGGTCCTAGAGGTTGTTTTGTTTCGTGAGTCCTAGGTTGGGCAGGCCGTAGGTTAGCAGCAGAAATAGTTGAGCGTCGATTGACTTTGGGTTCTTTTCGTTTTCAATTGTTCGGGAAATGGTCTCGGTTTGGTTAGTGAATGCCGTGCTGCTGGAAGGGAAGAAGACGACCACCATAGATGGGGCTGGTTGGACCTGAGCAATTCAGCAGGTGCTGAATCGCTGCGAGCGGCAACATCTTTCTGGGATGTTGGGAGTTGGGTGCTGTCGTGGTTGTTACCACGTGGCAGCAGTTTCATCTTTCCTCTTTGAAGCGGTGAGTTCCCTTCTTCTGCAGGGAGGACGGCGCTGCTCCCTGGAATGAGGGCTGAGTCTGCAATCAGGGAATTCGGTGTTTGGTGGGTTGGCTCTTGAGACAGGGAGGTTGTGTCGGTGGTCTGCAGATGTTGGGGTTGACGCGCTGTTTCAGGACGGCGTCATAGCTAGAGCTGTGGAAACTGATAGCGAGCTCAGGAAGAAGAAGTCTCCCAGATACTTGGCTTAAACTTGTGTGATGACCCG